CTCTCCCCCTTTAAGATTGAGAACATTTACAGTTCCAATCGATTATTGTCTTAACGAGGCTTGATTGTCCGTTAGACACTGCATTGGAACGAAACGACTTCCGTGCTCAATGAACCCCGTGTCAATGACTCCGAAGTCTCTAAGTCTCGCTGGTTCCGACAGCGCTCACAGGCAAAGCCCAGCTTAATCTCCCGCACACTGTGCCATGTCGGACCGTGTCTCCGCGGCATCAAGGCATGTAAATCCTTGGCTCGATGAGCCCGAGCGTCGTGCTCCCCGCACACTAATGGTGACGAGTGACCTCGTTGGGGATGTAGAGGTGGTCGACTACGAGTCTGACACTCCTTTTCCCGGGCGGAATTACGAGAAAGGCGAGCCGCGGCAGCGGCGTGATGCGAGCCCTGCTCGCGCCTTGCGGATTCCATGTCCGATTCCCGACCTGTCATCACCTGAGGGATGTGGTGTAATCACCAATGATCTCGATGAGACACAGAAGCGGCAGCTGGAAGCTGCACGTATGTCGGCTCTGATGCGCGCCCATCCACGGCCGGTGATTGACCCTCGTGGGGAATATGGCTTTTGCCCGGCAGATTCCGCTGTGGAAGTGAAGGACGTGTTAACTCGATCGTTACGCCTCCACATCATCGGGTCCCCGGCCATTACGGAAGATGAGCTTGCCAAACTTAAAGCTCTTCGAGCTCGTTTCTTGGTTCCACAAGAATTTCCGTTGGAAGCTTATCGCACTCGTCTGCGTGATCACGAGGTGGCTCTTATGTATCCGTGTTGCGGACGATACCTGTAGTGCTCGCCCCTGGTGAAAGCGCTTCAGATGACGAAGCGCTCTTTGGGCGATGGGTGCAACGGCACCGCAAACTTTTTCACTGTATGCCTTACAGTTGAGCAACAAGAAAGTGGACGTGCGTGTGGAGCGCCACCTTCAATTTGAGTTTGCCAAAGTCAAAGCTCGCCGTAGACTCCTTTCAGATTGTCGCCTTACGACGTATAGGTCAACCCGCTACAGCAAAAGCTCAGTGCCACTGCTTGAGCTCAGCTCATGACCCTTCTGCTCCCCTGGCTATTGCCGGGAAGCGCGGGGCGTCCTGATCTCTCTAGTCAAAAGCGCCCACGGCGTCTGGGCACTCGTGCCGAAATGGCGTCTCAAAATCCCACGAGTTTTCGGAGTCGGGATATCCCCGCCACTTTACCAGATATTTTGTCTGACCCTGGTAACGACGTCGTTCTACTAGACGTTCCACGTGATAGTGAACGTCACCGTTCTTATCGAGATGAGGCGGTGGCGAGCGGTGACGACCGGGTCGACAGCCGTCCTGTGACTCGCGATGCTCTTCGAGCCTTTGACGACGAGATCCTCCGTGATCGGAGCTCCGCTGAGCGTCATGCTGACGTAGCATATCGTTGCGCGGACGCTTTTGAGAATTTGAAGCATGTCGTGCGCCTGCTGCCTCACCTTGATGACTGCCACTCTCTCTTGGATCAGGCGAATGTATCGCTGCAGGCAACGGCGGAGCGCTTGGCTCTGGAGGTTGTTGCACTACGTGATCAGAACCAGTTGCTGATTCAATTTCTGGGTGGCCGAGGGCCCGTTAGATCCGCTCTGGCGCCAGCGCTTCCGCGCTCACAGGCGCCGTATCCCGATACGGCTTGAGCAATCCCACGTAAAACACCGGGTGGGTGCGCATCCGTTTCAGAAGATTTGGCGTATACGCTAGGCTCCGTTTGGCCACAACCTTAACCGATTCGATAAACCGTGGACGAAGCTTCGTCCTGAAGATAGTAGAAGCTGCATATATAGGCAGGTTTTTTGAATTTAGTAAAACCAGGTCCCTGACCTTAAATGTTTCCACTTTGCCTCTTCCTTTTCATCTGCATATTCTTTCTGCAGGTCTTGGCTTTCGGCCATCGCATCGCGAACGTGTCGTAGGACACTCAGCCTGGTAGACAAACAGTCTTCGACTTCGTTGCGGATGGTGAGCGGCTAACATCATCTAGCCGTTCGGCTATTCCTCCCCCACCAAGCGCTGAGCCATGGGATGGCGGCGTCAGTGGGCACGAGGGTGAATTAGCCCGTTCACGTAGAACGGCGTGTAGCCGGTAGACGTATGCACTGCATTGTTCAGTGCAAACATCACACTTGGCAACGTGGCGCTCTAGCGCCTCGGCGTCTCAGCGCAGACGCTGCAAATAACGTCTTCGATGACGGAATTCACGGTTTCGGTCTGACCATCGGTCTGCGGATGATCCGCTGTCGACATATCTAGCTTGGTGCCTAGCACCTTGAAGATAGCCGACCAAAATTTTCATGTGAAACGGGGGTCTCTATCAGAGACAATCGACTCTGGGAGTCCGTGTTGACGAAAA